ACTGGCTTATATTATAGAACCCGATCCAGCGTGAAATTGCTATAAATAAAACCCTGTCCAGTAGTTTTGATCAATTAAACTCCATAATTAACAAAGATACTCCATTCATCTTAGATTGTCTAATTTGCAGAAGAGTATTAAAGGACTTCGACTGGAATACGAGTTTGTTTAGAAATTAGAACACACTTGGTGATGCGCTGGATTTGATTTAAAAGACACAGTGGGAGTTGGCAAAATTCACATATCATGGGGTTAATGTGGGTTAGAACAGAGCTATTTGTAATACAAAAATACTGCATACCAAACACACTCACAGAATTCCTTTTAATCAGGCTCATATTTTGCAACATAAGTCACTGCTAAAATGAACAGTTAAAGCAGTTGTTTGAGACTTTTGTCAATTGATTCGCTTTTTGTTTATTTTAAATATTTATTGGCCTCGATTCTGGGCCAAGTCCACCGAAAGTCATGGGAATCTGCTCTTCTTATATATCTTTTAAAGAAATGAATTTTGAAAAAAAAAAAACCAAGTGTGGCTGGTCCTCAAAAGGAAGTGGTGTAGGAAGGTTAACACTGTTTACATTCTCCAGTGATTTCATATGAATGATATAAAGTCGTAAGAAGAGACCAAGAAAGGAGATACTCCAGCTTGACTCATTTTTCCTAATAATAATAATAATTAACATTGAATTGATCCAATTCAAACTTATACAAACACTTTCAGGGTTTTCTAGGAATAGACTACTCGAGAGTGGTTTGACAGTTCTTCTTCAGCGATCCGCTCTGGGATTTTGCACCTTGCCCCAAACCACATTGGCTGGCCCTTCTCCCTACAAGGCAGAGTGGAGAACTGGACTCCTTACTCTAGGGTCAGGTGCAACATCTCACTGGGCTACCAAGATTAATCCCCACAATCTTCTCTTGGACAAAGGCGATTCTACCACCTTCGTCCAAGAAGCAGGAATCTGTAATCTTCCTAGGCAGCTTCTTGCCTGCTTAGTCCTTTACAGGAATACCAGGCAGATTTCTGGCAAATCATTTCCACTCTTGATCTTCACTAGAAGAATAGCAGGCCTTCAAGCTCTTGCAGACAGAACTGCACTCCTTAGGTCCCCAAGCTCTCTTCATTTCAGAAGATTAATTTAGGATGGGGAGTCATTTCACAGCTATTTCTTAAGAAACTGGGCATTCAGAGATACTTCCTCATCTACTGCAACTAACACAGAGATCTACTAACAGATTCCCTTTTTTCCGAACATCTGGAGGCCCAAGGTTGAGGATCACTGTACTAACAGATTCCTTTTTTTCCCAAGCCCACCCCTGCTTTGTAATCATCTGAACCCAGGCAGCCAGCCTGTCTTCTGATGTTCTGACATCAGCATGTACTTTTTGATGTCTCTAAACTCTGCCTTGTCTCTCACAGGGAGGCGCTACCTGAAACAGCATTTTGGTGGTATATTTTCTATGGCCCTGCCTGCCATCTTGTTCTATCTGATGAGTCCTAGAGGACAAGAGAAAAACAGGATCGATAGCATTATGTTCCTGCTTAGAACACTCCCATCCAGCACAACGTGCCGTCTTCCGAGGGAACTCCATGCTCCTTCTGCTCCCTCAAACAGGCACATGGATGTCAGTGGTATATGTGGTGCTCCTTTACCCCAACATATATCAAGTGTGTGTGTGTGTGGGGTGTTATTTTGGTTGCACAGTGATTCCACACTTGGAGGATGAATTTGATGGCAATGCATAGAACAAACCGCTAATACTAAATATCCACCCTACGAGTCTTACTTGCGTGCAGCAGCCAGGACTACAGACTGTCAACCACTGCAGGATTAAGTTCTGCAGACCTTACAAATGAGAATTGGAGAGGGAAAGGACACATATACAGAAGTTAACCTTCAGCCAAGTAAGCAGGATTTACAGCATGCCCGAATGACTGAGATTGGGACCAGCTTTCTCTAATTAACCAGCTCTGGTAGATTTGATTAGATCTCAAACCCTTTGTTATTTAAAATACATATTCATAGCACTATATTTTACAGATGCACTGTTCTGGTTACAAAATAGCTCCTACTTTTCTAGGACATAATTTCATTTTGTTTAGCCAAGAATTCATTAAAGAAGCTATAAATAACCTCCTTTAAATATTTAGCTGTGAATAGAGGGTGGACTGGCATTGATGGCTTATTTTAGTACGAACGCAATATGCTTTAGAGCCATAAAATCTACATTTCAACATGTATCAAGCTAATGATTAACACCTCCAATGAGGTTTGTGATATCTAATTACAATGTGTGTATCAGCAAGCTTATGTCCCAATCACCATACTTGTCCAAGGAAGCAGTCTAGGGTGGTGGTCGGGAAAAAAACAGGATTAAATCCCATCATTTTTGGAACACTTGAGTCATAATATTGTAGGACCTAGTCATGGCTGTTATCTTATGTCAGACCTTACAAATGAGAACTGGAGAGGGAAAGGACACATATACAGAAGTTAACCTTCAGCCAAGTAAGCAGGATTTACAGCATGCCCGAATGACTGAGATTGGGACCAGCTTTCTCTAATTAACCAGCTCTGGTAGATTTGATTAGATCTCAAACCCTTTGTTATTTAAAATACATATTCATAGCACTATATTTTACAGATGCACTGTTCTGGTTACAAAATAGCTCCTACTTTTCTAGGACATAATTTCATTTTGTTTAGCCAAGAATTCATTAAAGAAGCTATAAATAACCTCCTTTAAATATTTAGCTGTGAATAGAGGGTGGACTGGCATTGATGGCTTATTTTAGTACGAACGCAATATGCTTTAGAGCCATAAAATCTACATTTCAACATGTATCAAGCTAATGATTAACACCTCCAATGAGGTTTGTGATATCTAATTACAATGTGTGTATCAGCAAGCTTATGTCCCAATCACCATACTTGTCCAAGGAAGCAGTCTAGGGGGGTGGTCGGGGAAAAACCATCATTTTTGGAACACTTGAGTCATTATATTGTAGGACCTAGTCATGGCTGAGATATTAATCTATCTACCTTGGCCAACTATCCACACACAAAGCAGAACATTCAGTGGAGGTTTTGGGGGTATACCAGACTCTGGATCTTGAGCAGTAAGAAATGCAAGACTTGCTCCCATCGACTGAGATATTAATCTATCTACCTTGGCCAAGTATCCACACACAAAACAGAACATTCAGTGGAAGCAGCAGTTGGTTTCCCCCTTTGACTTGACAGTAATGAGATTGTGTCCCTAGTAAATTAAAAGAAGGGCTTGCTATATTTCTTTGCAACAAAGAAAGGGCTATTTTGACCAGACAATGCCTAAATGTACCTACTCACAAGTAACTCACACTGCAGTGATTGTGACAACACCTGGACTGCGGTTTACTTTCCTCCAAGCCCATTCATTGAGTTGTATGGCTGAGTCGGTCTATGAAACTTCGCTTTCCAAATATCTCTGTGCATTCCTTGTTATTTTAAAAAAAAGCCCAAGATAAACTCAAGGACAAAATGGGGGTGTGGCTGGGAGAATCTATGGTTTTTTAGAAGTCAGGAGTCTTTAAAAAAAACCAAACCCTACACTTTAATCCTTATAGCCGAGGGATATATTTCATATCTATGTTAGATCATTTATTTTTGCTGCATTATAAATACATGGCTTGAGTGCTAAGGATAAATGAGAAACATAGGAAGCTGTCTTGTACTAGATCTGACTCTTTGCCCATTAGACAGGATTTGCCTCTCCAAAGGTGAGTTAATATAGTATATAAAGGGCAATTTTTCAGTTCATGGTAGAAGAGAGAGGAGGTTTTTGGGGTATACCAGACTCTGGATCTTGAGCAGTAAGAAATGCAAGACTTGCTCCCATCGATAAAAGTTGGAAGAAAATTGTGCTACCTGATCCAGGGCTACAAATGCTTGGCTGTCTTGTCCTTGCCATTCAATACAGCTGTCCAATATTGTTGGACAGCAATTATCTATTATCCTACACAATGGGCTAACCTGGCCATAGGTAACTGTACTTGCAGTCTACCCACACATGGGACAACCAACACAGTTTAAAGGCTAAAACATTACCCAAAGGAATAACACCATCCTTTACATCACATTTCCATAGAGCATAAATTGCTATCCCTCCAGAAGGATCTAGACACAGTTATGCATGGCTAGATTTTAGTTCTTGTTATCTATAATTGCATGCAAGGACAAGGAACTGCACAATTACGCTTCCTCGCCGAAGCCGGCAAGATCTTTTGTGGAGCTTTCCATAAGAGAATAGAAACAAGTGCTGTGTGTAAATTAAGCAAAATTGTGCCGTTGGTTGTCCTGTGCTTACTGTGTGTGTATGTGTAAAGTGCTCAAAGGGAAGCACAGAGATTGCTTGTGCAAATTGTAGAGAACCTGATGAGAAAAATATTTTTTTGCAGTTAAGGAAGCTTGTGAGGCTTGATTATCCCTCACCCAATTGATCTGCCAAGACCGCCTACATAGATAAGAACAAAGACTTTAACAAGTAGTCTTTACACCCCAGTACCAGCCTTGTTGCCATTTGCCAAAGGAAGGTTTCTTCTGCACCAGCAGAAGTAAGAGTGGTGCTGTTTGTTCTGTTGGAGCAAATGGACTGAGCTGCCGTACCAATGCCTACTTTTTGAATCTACAGGACCATCTTACAGCTTGAATTCAAGCTGCAGATTCTGGAAGCCCACAGCCAATCAATCTCCTCTTAGAGTTGTCCTCAGGAACAGAACATTTTTAAATAGACAAAGACACAAGCCTCTCTCTTCAGGGTTATGGCATCATCAGTTCAGGGTTAAACTTTTCTCTTCATAAGAACATAATTTCCATTGGCATTAACAGAAGTTTGTGGCAAAAGAAAGGAAAAGAGAAGAAAGAAAGGTCAGAGATCACTGCAAAGAATTTGGACATGAGAAAAGATCTCTTCCCTGGTTTGTATTATGGCCCACAGGAAGGAACACAGCCTCAACATTTTGGTTGCGTCATTTCTTGTCTTTTTTTAATTGAAAAGTTCAATTTTACAAAATACCTTTTTTTCCCATCAAAGAAAGATCCCTGCAAAGTTATGTGAACATTGCATTCTGTTTCACAGATTCGATACAAGTGAAAATATCAGAGGCTTTTATGCTAGTAGGAAAGAAGTGATTCGTCAGCACAGACACCTAAAAGCAAATCCTACAAAAAAATAGGGGATATGAGTGAGTCTTAAAATGCTAAAGCAAGTAATGAAATATAATTGTTGGCTCTATTTGAAAGCTGCAAAGTTTCTTTCAAACGACCCATATGGTATGTTGAACATCACATCTGGTACAAAACTGCCTGTATTTAGGTTTAAACATACACAGAAAAAGCCTTATGAAGATTATTCTTTTGAAAATTATTCCAAGTGCTGTTATCGTAAGGCAAACAAGTACAAAGGTGCTGACTACATACAGGAGCATTAAGAAAATAAGAAGTTTGAAGTGTTTCCGTAAAGATTTTAAAAAAAGAAAGAAATACCACAACAAGAGGTCTAAACATGAACAATATCAAATCAACACAGGTTGCCATTTTATTAACTAGATGAAAGCCATCTGCACTGGGCATGAAAACCCAACTTCCATTGTCTAAGTGGGACCTAGTTTTTCTGTTGCATTCTGGCCGCTTTGAATTTTGACACCCTCTTTGCAGTTTCTTCTGAAGCTTCCGAGAGGACTTCCTCCGCTTTTCGCTCTGGGATGGTAGGCAGGACGGGGTGAGCAATCACTGGGTGTGGCACAGAAGCACCAGACAAAGGCTCCTTCTCAACAACAGTCCCCAAGAAAGCCTGCAAGAAACACCAAACCTCAGAAAGAGATCACCAGTGACATAAGTACAGACAGTCCTATCAATTGTGATTACCATACACCAACTTTGTTCCTGCTGCTGTTTCTTTAAGTCAAAAATTTCCAGAAGGAAGTTTTAATTAAACTGAAAAATCTGGCTAACTCAAATAAATAAATAAATAAAAAGAACAAGAGCAAGAACATTAAGTGCTATATACTGTCATTCATGACTATATAGTAACTAGAACAAGTTTAAAGAACTTCCAGTCTTCAAGATGCTCTTCCATTTCTTTTGAAAATTCTTGGCTATAGTGGATGAAGATGATGGGAATTAGAGCCCAACATTTGGATGGCCACAGGTTCCCACCCCTGGTATAAAGGATTTTGAGCATGAACAAATACTGGTTTCTACCTCACACATATTCATATAAATAAAAATAATGTACTATACAACTGCAACTCTGGTAACAAACATGGCAACATCACTATTTTGATTTCTACCAGTATTTTCACAATATATTATATATGCATGGTTCAGTACCTTGGCGTTTCTAAATCATGTTTGGCACTTGGCATACAAACTGGAAACCTCTATGTTGTCTATCTTTTCCTGTTATCACAGTTAAGGCATACAGTGGTGCCCCGCTTGACGATGACCCTGCTTCACGACGAAATCACTTAATGATGAGTTTTTTGTGATCGCTATAGTGATCGCAAAACAATGATTCCTATGAGGTTTTTCGCTTAATGATGAATAGTTCCCTGCTTTGGGAACTGTTTTTTCGCTGGACAACAACTAGAAACAGCTGATCAGCGGTTCTCAAAATGGCTCCCCGCTGTTTTCCGGACCTATTTCCAGAAGACAGCAATCAAAAATGGCTTCCCCTAGGGAGGATCTTCGCAAAACTAGCAGGTATTTTCCCCATTGGAACACATTAACTGGTGTTCAATGCATTCCAATGGGTTTTTTTACTTTTGCATAACAATGATTTCGCTTTACAGCGATTTTAACAGAACGGATTATCATCGTCATGCGGGGCACCACTGTATTATAAAGAATTGGCCAGAGAAGCTCCAAGAGTTAAAGGAAATGTCTATTATCTATTATTATAAAGAATTGGCCAGAGAAGCTCCATGTCTACTCAAGAGTTAAAGGAAATGTCTATTATCTATCTCTAATGAAAGCAACTGATACACAGAAGTGAACTTAACTTTCGCCATGACAGATCCATATTAATCAACTCGTTTAACAAAATAAAAATGTATTTAAAATGATGATTTACTCAGGAGAAAGGTGGCCTATAAATGAGATAAATAAATAACAATGAATGCATGTAGTGTGAGCTGGCTCACAGTGGCATTAGTTACTCAGGATGATTGGCCTAGAACAGGAGTCCTAGCAGGCTAGAAATGCTATCATAGAGCCTACAGAAATATCATTAGATTTCAAACAAGGTGCTCATGGTCTGCTGTCTTTGCATTGTCTGGGAGACCCTAATCAGCAGCTCCCCTTATTCTCAGAGGAGAAGGAAAAACACACCCATGCGAGTCTAACAGAGTTGATATACTACAGTGATCAAAAGTAGGAGATGGGGGTGGGGTGGGGGACAAATTTTAGTCTCAAAATGCCGTCGTTCATAAGAGTGTTTAAATACTATTTATTTAGTCCATCTACCTCAAGACAGTCTACTGACTGCAAGTGAATTATCAGGGTGTGATGTATCTGGAGTCTTTCCTAAGCCCCAGGTATTTAACCAGGGACTTTCTGCAGTACTGTATGGAGACCCATGCTTCCAGAGACACAAGAGTTTCTTCTTTTTCCACAAATCAATTTATGAAAGCCGGAATTAAAAGAGATGTCTTCCTGCCCTAATAATCTTTGCAAGAAAAAGAGAAGTCATCCTCTGTACCTCACAGGTTCCTGTCAAGGATGACAGTTTTCTCGAAAGATATTCCTGCTCCCCTTCTTCCTCTTCTTCTAAGATTCCTTCACTGTTATCACTGTAGGTAGCTTCATCGTAGCTCACACTTCTCAGAATTCCTCGTCTGTCATCAAACTCAGCAGCGCTGCTCTCACTGGTATCACTACAAACACTATTCTCCCGGCTTCGCGACTTCAGAATTGATTTACGAGGGACATATTCTCCATTCACAACATCAACAAAGATTCTGTAAAGGGAAATGTTAGCTTTAATAAACTGTTTGGGGTGGGGAAATAGGAAAATAGTAGAACCATGTGACAATTCATAATCAATTTCACTCTGTCTTTGATACAAATTAATTATGATGACTCTGCCTACCCAACTTTCTACTTGAAGCCTTTTAACGTAGATGGATTATCTTCTGCAACTTTGCTGTTGCCTCCACCTCTATTCAGATACTGCCCATCATCGCTTGCCATTAAAATAACAAACTTTCCAAGATGATTAATGAAATTCGTACTTTGTGAAACCAAACTAAACTGAAGAATTTTTTATAGGACACATATTCTTTTATTCTGATGACCAAGTCAGCCCTCAGGTACCAAACATAACTGTTTATACAGGAAGAATCTGAAAATGTCATGGAATTCATAGACTTGGCAGGGGCTGAGGCAGAAGCATAAATCACTGATGAGTCTTATTCAGCACTTTCTCTCGTGTTGGCTAATTTGAAGTTTTAGACCTCAATCTTTCCCAATAGGAGACAATGGACATTGAACCCAGCAGGCTCTGCACCAGAGACATGGGCTCTACCACTGACTCACCACTCCTCTCGTGGGACATTATCTGAGGCTTAAAAAACGAAATGGAAGATAAATAAAGGTATCAATGCAAGATGGGAACTGGAATATTCACAATAAGCAGCACATGTTTCATTTAGCACAAGTTTTCCTGTCATATGAAGAAAATGTTGAACTATACAGTGGTGCCTCGCTTAACGGGCGCCCCGTTTAATGACGAATCCGCATAGCGACAAATTTTTTGCAATCATTTTTGCGATCGCATTGCGATGGTTTAGATAGGAAAATATCGTTTTACTTTGTTTCGCATACTGCTCATCGCATAGCAATGATTTTCCAACAGCTGATCGGTCGTTCCAAAATGGCCGGCGGGTAAATAAAATGGTGTTTTCGCCCGGTTTCCTTGCTTACCGGGCAGCGAAAATGGCCGCCGTATGGAGGATTTTCGCTTTAAGGTGAGTTTTTTGCCCATAGGAACGCATTAAACGGGTTTTAATGCATTCCTATGGGTTTTTTATTTCCGCATAGTGACAAAATCGCTTTGCAGTGATTTTTGCTGCACGGATTATCGTCGCTATGTGGGGCACCATTGTACTTAATTACTATGCCACAGGTGACAGTCTTTTTCTCCCAATTGTATTGAAGGGTCTCCAAGTCAAATAAAATTCCAGTTTGGTAAGAAAACAGAAGTATGGGAACAAAGGATACAAAGAACAAGTAACAATTTAAGAAGTAAAACATACTGTATTTGCTGGCGTAGAAGACTACTTTTTTGCCCTGAAAAACATGCCTCCAAGTGGGGGGGGGGTCGTCTTATACGTCGGGTGCAATAGTTGGGATAGACATAGCTGCCCATAGTGTCCTTCCGATGCTCGCCCGGTGCCCAGAGTAGCCTCCCGATGCCTGCCCACCACATTCTACATACCGTCCAGTATCGTGAGGACCAGTGGTAAAATAAATTAAACAAACACAGATTGCTACAATATAGGAAATGTCCAACACATTTTTAAGCAGCTGTCTCATTTAAACAAATATCTGGAAATACCAGGCCTACTACTATGCGATGTTCTCTACAGATGCACATTGATGGCCAAAAGGTATATACGCTGTACTGATTGCACAGTTGTAGTGCTCTGGCTCATGACAGACTCTTCTATACTTATAGAACCACACTTCATCCCAAAGGCCTTAGTACAGGAGCCATACCGGTAAATATCTGCTGGTGTTTTGATGTTGGGCAATTCTGTAGCTGAGTGTCCATTACCGTTGCTATTCTTCCGTTTCCGTTTTGCCTCCTCTTTCTTCTCACTGAATTTTAAAGTCGTATTTTTCCCTGTGTTTATTCGTACCTGAAGGAAAGACACATGTCACTTGTGAGTCATCAAGAGTTCTAAATAATCAGTTAATAATTTTTAATCAGGCGAGTTAGGACAAAGTCCCATTCTTAGTCGGACACATCCATTTAAAATTGAACAATACCCATCATTTCCACAGGTGACGCTACCTATTCAGTTGTCGCAGTTGTACATTTAGAGAGAGCAGTTAATTCATCTCCATCCTTTCTGTTGTCTCCTTCTCCACTTAGAGAGTGACTTGTCTGGCAGTTTAAAACTCCTGCTCAGGGATCTTTCTTGCACGTTGACCTTAAAGGTTAACAGAACTTTCTCCTATTCAGCCATGTTGCTCATTACATGGAGAAAGGGATGAGAGGGAGAAATGCAGTACATTACATCTCTGTAAGTTTGTTGATAGAACTAAGTAGAAAATGAATAAGGCTTGTCACGTGGCAACTGGCTTTGGACACACGTGCTAAACTATAGTTTAGTGTTATGTACATAAGCCTTAGGCGCCTTTGTTCCCTCTACTCATTAGGGTAAGGTTATGAGGGGATCAGAGTTTTTTTTGCTTCCATTCATAACCCACCATAGCTTATTCTTATAGGTGATGCTGGAATTGCATTTACTCTTCTACAGGAGAGGATTTCTGTGACATATATTTTTTCCCTGCAGCCTACCGTATTTTTCGCTCCCTGAGATGCACTTCTCCCCCCCAAAAAAAGTGGGAGGGAAAGTGTGCGTCTTATGGAGCGAATACTGTAAAAATGGTGCAAATCCCCAGAGCCCATGCCGCTGTCATACACAGCTGGGCTCTGTACTCATTAGTAGCGCTGGTACTACAGGGCTTCCATAGCAGCCCTGTAGGACCAGCGCCGCTTACTGGACAGCTGGATCATATGACCAGCCAGACACCGGGAGAAGCAGAGAGAGAGGAGAGTGCCGCGAAGGGAGAAGACTCGTTCAGGTACCGTAACAGATACAATATTACAGAGGAATTTCTGGCTGGATTACTGGCTGGCGACATTAAGGGGCACGTATGGATGGCAGTATCAATTAAGGGGCACAACATGGATGACAATATGTGCATCTTATGGTCATCTTATGGAGCGGAAAAATACAGTATGTTTGAGCTCATGGGTGGGTTTGAGAGAGGCCAGATTACTCATAAACATGTTTGAATTTGCTAATGGGTTCAAATGTAAGTTGCAGAGAAAATGTGAACTATCATAGAAATCTTCCCCCTACTTAACTATGGCTAGAATATATATATATATATAAAAATAAGCCAAGGCCAGAAACTGCAGCTGAAAATGCCAGAGATGAACAGCAGGATGGTTGGGGAGGCTTTCAGCTTGCTTCCCCTTCCAGCAATCTTGTGCAATCCTGCTGGGATGGGATAGAAAGCTGCTTCCAGAGCACTGAGGAATGGAGACAATAAAAGCTACTTCTGTCTCAGTGAACTAAATCAATTCTATTCTGCCACTGGTTGCATAGAAGCAACAATCCAAATCAACTCCAAGAGGGGAGATGAGAATCAGGGGCCCTGGTGATTGAATGACACATGCGCCTTGCCCTGAAGTGCTGAGTAAGACTAATCCTGGATCTTCCATGTTCACGCAAGAGCTCTTTTCAGGAGTCCAATAAAAGGGTTCCTTCAAACCCACAGAGTAGCCTACCCCAGGCCCCCTTTGGGTCTTGCATATAGAAATCTAAATCTGAAGAAAAGTCATGGAGACAACATCAGTCTTGCATGGATAGCATCCACACACCATCAAGAACTCTGCTTTTTGGAGAGGTGTAGAGTTAATTTTGAATTAGTTCTTGTTGACCTATGCTAGGAACATGACTGAACATGTGGACTAGTTAATACCATGTATGTTACAAGCACCAGAATTTGTTATGCCATGACATGGAAAACAAAGGCCATTGCAACAGTTATGAAAAGGGGGAACCAAAGGCTCATTAGTCAGCAATTAAGGCAAAGCTAATTTTGTAAGAGGTTAAGAAGACAGGGCACCACAATACAGTGGTGCCTCGCTTAACGAGTGCACCGTTTAATGACAAATTTGCATAGCGATCAGTTTTTTGAGGTTGCTAATGTGATCGCACTGCGATGATTCCAATAGGGGGAAATTGCATTGCGATGATCGGTAAGCATTTCGCTTACCGATCTTCACATTGCGATGTTCTAAAAACAGCTGATCGGTGGTTCAAAAATGGCCGCCGGATCAGCAAAATGGCCGCCCGCAGCATTTTCGCGCCCTGCCCTCGCTTACTGGGCGGCGAAAATGGCGGCCGGATTGAGGATTTCCCGCATAGCGGGGAGGTTTTCCCCAATAGGAACGCATTAAACAGAGTTGAACGTGTTCCTATGGGGTTTCCCCCCGCATAGCGACGAATCCGGATAGCGACATTAGTCCAGGAACGGATTAACATCGCTATGCGGGGCACCACTGTACTTTCTTCCAGAAATGGTGTGATTTGTGCAGAATAAAGTACATTCTTGCTGTGTTTATCTGTCATTTTGTTCTTGTTCCTGTTCCACTGAAGCTTTGGCTGTTCTGACTCTGGATGGGCTAGCTCTATACTGGTGGTGCATCCAATCCAGTCTTTGAGGTTCTTTGACTACAGTGATGCCTCACAAGATGAAAATAATTCATTCCGTGAGTCGTTTCGTATTGCGAAAATTTCATCTTGCGAAGCGCAGTTTCCCATAGGAATGCATTGAAATTTAATTAATGTGTTCCTATTTGTCTTGCGAAGCATGGCCACAGAAAAAATTTGTCTTGCAAGTCACCAAAAAATAAATAAATCACAAAACGCTTTCGTCTTGCAAGTTTTTCGTTGCGCGAGGCATTCGTCTTGCAAGGCATCACTGTAATATGCTCTTCTTCCTGTATTTCCTCACCCACTGTTTTTTTTTTAAACAAAATAAAGATAAACATTCTTAATCAGCTAATTTTGGAAGTGTTGTGCAAATTATTTCTTGTTAACCTACACTGGGAATGTGACCACAAATGTGGACTAGTTAATTTTGTGTATGTTTTGCCCTGAACGATCAGTGGTCATTATTCATTTGCTTTTGTACTTCTTCACCAGAAATCTGAAATTACAGCTCGAACTTTATAGATCCAGTCTACAGCATACCTTGTTCATTAAGCTTTTATTTAAAAAAATAAATTAACTTTTTAAATGTTAGGAACATTATTCAATGTAAGCTGGAGTTCCCTTGGCGATAAGTAACTTGAGACATATCTTTAAGCATCAGCAAAACTACTCAGAAGTGAAAAAATTAAGTAAAGACCAGATCAATGCATGATGGTGCTTTGGTTCCCACCTCAGGCAGTGAGAGAGAGCTCACACTAATACTGATCCCTCTCCCTCTCTGGAAAGGGGTCCTATAAGAGGCACAGCAATGTGAATGCATCTTATCTAGTCAGGATTTGGACATCGGTTTATCCTCTGATTCATACAGCTGAACAAGAACAGCAAGTTGGACATAAAAATCCCTTCTGTTGTGCAAGTATCCAGAGCAGCAGTCCCCAACCTTTTTGGGACCGCGGACTGGCTGAGCCTCTGAGGAAGGCGGGGCACACACACACATGTGCACGCCTGCGTGGGTGTGCATGTGCTCTTGGGCGCATGCATGAAGCGGTGGGGAGCGCGTGTGCACCCGCCAGCGCTGGCATGAGCACTCCCCTACCCCTTTGCACATGCGTAGTAGTGTCTGGATGCCCGCCCCTTTGCATGCACACAAAGCAGCTGTGTGAAGGGGAGTGTGAAGGGGGGTGAGAGGTCTGTGGCTTACTGGTAAGTCTAGTTTCACACTGTGAGAATACCTACCTAATCAAGGATTTAAGCAGTCTTTGGTATCATTGCGGTTTTCAATATAAAATTCTTTCTACATTTGATATTTTAGAGATAAATATAAGAATTCACGTTAGAGACACAATTTCTCCTTTACCTAATCAGCCCAGGACAGTATGACTTTTTTATGTTTTAAAAATTATATTTTTACGTAAAAGGAGCTGTTTGATGACAGAGAAGAGCACCACAACATTGTTCATTCAATGATCTCCATTAAATGAATGCAACAGATGTTAGCAATACAAACCCTTTTAGGTTCCACAGTGTGGGAGAAATATATGGTCGGTACAGCATTCTCAGCAATGGCTAGATCATCCTCATCATCACTGCAATAATGATTTGAGCCATTAACTGGACCTCTGAACAATTCAGAGTTGGTAGCGTCTTTTTGAAAGTTGCCCTGAGTATTCGGTTCTTCTTTTTCATGAACCACATTCACATTTTTCGTTTTGTCTTCTTTCTCTTCTTCAGAGGAAGAAGCGTCTTCTCCGTTTGCCTCAACAGCATCAGAAATCCTAAACAGAAGATGTGGGGGAGGGTAAAAAGCCTAGGTCCAATTAAAAGGCCTTAAGCTGACACCTCACTGGTGTTTGTGCCTATTTTTAAATAATTTCCAGACGAAAACAACATTTTGCATGAAGAATACAGGAAGACTATCACTCACATCAAGCTTCAATTCCTGGGGTGGACAAAATATGGCCGTCCTGATCTTTTCTTTTATAGCCCTAGAGAGCTTCATCCCAAGGCAGTGTAACTCGGCCAACGGAGGGCCTGTGGCAATTGCAACCCAACAACACTGAGGGGAACTATATCCCCACCTTCTACCTCCATCCTGTCTAGTCAGTTCCTACACTGAGATGTTTCTGGGAAGCCAGCAAGGACAACAGGAAGCCAGCAACTCGCTGTTGCTGTTTCTTTTCAGTAGTGAAATCTAGCTATCACATGTATGCGGGTTGATCAAACTTTACAACTCCTACTTGTCTCTCTGCTTTGGCACAGTAGGCAGCATGCCTGGCAATGTCACCTCCTTCCTCCTTCCCATCTCTCGTATGAGATTTTCCCCATTCTATGCTTATATTAAAAAGTGCCCATGGTAAAACGAAAGCATTCCCCATGACTGGCTTTAAATAAATGTTTTCATCCACCCACCTGCCTGCTTCCTAGCTACTATACCATCTCTTCTTCTTCACTACTGAAGGCTTTGGGAAACACTTTCTACTAGGCTTCCACCATGACACCCATCTGCTTATTTATCACAGACACATTCTGCTAATTTTATCCACCAACCACTGAAAGCAGATGGCAAATCCAGGTACAAAACAATAATGGAACCTAGGCTACTCCATGATACAATTTCACCTCTTTCTCAGATGCCACATCCCATTTACAGCAAATATCTTCTAGTGTACCCAATATTGCTTTGTTATTTGCCATCTCAGAACAAATTTGTACTGGTTTCATGCTGCTTTTCCTCGTTCTGTCTAAAAAATAGTTACAAGAATAACTGCTTAATGAGCTAGGATTTCTGGGAAGGATGACTGATCAGTGACAGACGACACACATGTTGGATGGAGAAGATCCCAAGTTTAATGCCTGACATCCTCACAAATTTGCCCAAGCCCAAAGGACATTGAATGAGCCCAGTTCAGGCACCCACTGGTAAAATCTATTAGGGTTGGCAGGAACAAGACACAGGGCCTTCTGTGTGGTGACCTCTTCTTAGGAATACAGCATAGGTAATAGTGTAGATAACATTGGGAAAGTCTGAACAAATAATCTGACCTTGTACAATGCAGCTTCCTTTAATTATCCATGTTCCCCGAGTCCTACTCTTCACTGAGTTACAACTCCATAGGAAAGAATAACTTATTTAAGTCCATGGTGAAGCTATGCCTTCAGAGTTAGGCAGATGCCTCACTCTAAGTAAAGGTAGGCTCACATTCTTCAGTAGATAAATCAGATGGCTAAAATAAGGTATTGTACTTTGTGTGTATCCGCAAAATGGACTGTTGGTGGTCATCTTGTGATTTTATTTAAGCAGCATCCTGTAACACAATATGATTACAGATGTCCACTTTTCCTGGATAGAGGATGCTGAACTTTTCCATCTGCTGCAATTTGAAATGGAAAATGTTGCAGTAATGTAATGAATGTTATGTGACCACAGCTGTAATAATCACAGAAGGTCAGATCCTCAAAATGCAACAGATTGGAAATGTAAAAATCATCAGTCTTACAGGAAGACAAGCAGCTAATGCATGTAAACTATCATGCTTTAAGTTACATTTTTAATGTTTTAACATTACTTTTAAAGCATTCTTTTTCAAAAATGAGCCATTTCTCAAAATGATGTTTTTTTAGTGTTAGTGAGTCAAATCTACTTCATTGGCCAGGATCTTATTGGTTATTTAGGCCAGCAAAAATGCAATGATGTAAATTCTGGTCCTGAACTGTCACTAGTTAACGAGTTACTACTTGTATTCTTTGCATGCCAAGCCACACAATTTGTGTGCCAGAAGAAATACAAGCACAACTAATAGTAACTGGCCACTGCTGTTAATGCACCGCACATATTAATACACGACCAATAGTATCGAGGCCACTGTTTCCAAGCTGTGATTATCACGTACTATTCTTTGGGTCAGATTCAGCTAACCACGACATACTGCAAGAGAGCCTAAAGAGCTGCACCATGAGATATATTTTAGTTAGCCACACAGTCAGAAAATTTCAGAGGCCAATACGATTTGCAAATAGAAATGGGCACAAACCGCCAGTTCATGCTGGTTCGCTGTTTGTCCAAACAGGTTTCTGGTGCTTCCCAGTCCCACCTCCTCTGGTGGGTGCCCACCCAAAGGCACAAGCCCCAGTGGGTGCTGCCTCTGAGTGGGCACCTGCCAGAGGAGATGGAGCTGGGAAAGACCAAATACCTGTTCAGACAAAAAACAAACAAGGGGTTCATACCCATCACTATTTGCAAATTAAACAGGTCCGAGACCAGTGAAGGCACAGATCATTAGCAACTTCCTCCCATTCCCATGACTATTAGATTTGAAGTAGTCACCGGACAGCGAAGCTATAATCCCCACTGTTCTTCCATCCCTTTGGACAAAGAGGTCACCCTGCAACTGTTTGGATACCTGTCAAGTTCACCAAGGATCTCTTCTCGCCTCTCAAGTTCATCAAGCCTGGCCCATAGCTCTTCTTCTGATTTCAAGTCCCTGCTGGATTTTTCATCAGCTCCATTTTCGTGAAGATTTGCCTCAAAAGCAAATGGTTTTGGTTTTGAATGAGGTTTGTGAGCAGTTCTGTGTTTTCCTGGGTAATTAAACAAAAAAAGAATGTGTTTTTTAAAAAAATGTCATTACCAAGACAATTGAAAGAGAAAAGGAGGGGAAGTAATTGTTCCAAAGAAATCTGGATCAAAAAAACCCCCACAAACACACACAAAAAAACCACTCTTCTGTTTCAAATTACTACTGAAGTGCTTAACTAGTTCTGCCAATGAACCAGAGAATTGCCCCAGGGTAAGAGATGCCTGCTGTTATCTAAATGTAAAGGCACAACTTCTACCCCAAATCAGGGAACAATAACCCTGATACAGTGCAGCAACTGTGTATTTATTGTATCTTAGGAACCTACATGCCTCCTACTGAAAGGTCAGGACCAACAGCCCATTATTGTACTTTATGACAGTGGTTCTCCAAGATTTCAGACACAGGTCTCCCAGCCGATCTGGAGATGACAAGGACTGAATCTGGGACCCTCTGCATGTAGACAATGGACTCTGCTACTCAGCTATGGCTCTATCAACAAAACAATTACAATAATTCACTGTGATCGTTTCTGGGACATTCACCTAACTCTTTACAGCAGAGTGCAGTCTATTTTGGGCACAGACACATGGAAAGTTCTGTTTATAATGCCTGGCAATTCTGCGTTTTACTCTTCAGAGAAGAACAGTTTCTTCTCTATTCTTCTTCTGTCATTTATTTTTTAACTTGGTGGCAAGTATATCCGTCAATGCCTTATGTGCCTTTATTTGTCAAGCATCCTTCCTACTTTCCGAAGGGATTACTTTCTGAAATAACCAATCACATTAGATGTCAGCATAATAAAACAATCTGTCTTCGGAATTAGACCAAAGACCAGAAATACAAAACAATGGTTCCCTCAGTTGCCTAGCCCATTTTTAAAAAAACAACTCACCTTTCGTTTCACTGTCACTACTTTCGCTTACTTCTCTAATATCAACGAAGTCGCCTGCTTCCTAATTGGAAAAATATTCAAGTAAGTAAGTAAGTACATCCGATAAGACAAATATATAAAATATCCATAGGTGGCACAAGGCATAGCAAAAATTTTAGAGAGACAGAATCAAGATTTCAGAAAAGACAAATAAGAGGAGGATTTACTTAGAAAGATGAAAAGGGGAAAATATATTAAGGTGGCCTTCAGTGTTGAAAGCATGTATATACCTAACTTCTGGGATTGTAAGGGGGCATATCCTATATATTAGAAAAAGGAATTATACTGGAATAAGAGATCACTAATCAGGGTAAAGACAGAACATGGTTGTTCTTAAGGTAAACTGAAGCTAGATATAAGGATGAGGTAAAACAAATAGTACTTAATGGACTTATATTAGATATGATATTGATATAAACATGATAGAAAATGTGGAGATAGAAATGGCTAAATAATTATATAAAGAAAATCTGTATAAAATGCTTTAGATAACATCTATTATGTGTTAGGAACCTACCTATTCAGTTATTACTGCTATAAAATACAAAGTTCGTCAGTAAATGACCTCAAAATTGTATAAATTTGGAACCGGAATTACTTTTATTAGGTATGTTATTAGAGGATTTTGAGAACAATGTATACTATAAGAGCAGTATTATGACACTAGCCAATACTATATGCTAAATATTTATTTATTTATTTATTTATTAGACTTATATGCCACTCATCTAGACAATGTCTACTCTACATGTTTAAAAACACTAAGTGTTTAAAAAATGTAGTGTTATATAATTTATACACTAAAAGTTTAAAAAAGTGTAGATTTTGAAGGGACAACTAAGAAGACACCACGACGCAAAAAGACCCATGTGACACGTTGTTTAACAAGCACGAATTGAATGTAGTTAGATTGAAAAACTAATAATTTTTTTTTTAAAGACCAACTACTGCATTGCCACCTATTGTCCTCTATTATTAAGAGGCCTGAGAGGGCTTCACGCATCTCATGCAGCCCCTGCGCCGGCCACATGATGAGCAAACTGAGGGGGAGTCTCAAAAACAGTTTGTGATATCAAGGGAGTGGCGGGATTGCTAATGTTCAAAGAGAGAATAATATATCCATAATGCCGCAGTTTGGCGCCAACTTTACTGCTCAGGGCTCCATCGTATGAGGCCCCGAAATTTCTCTGTTGTATTGCATTAAGGCTTTAGCAAAGACCTCTGGCTACTTCACCAAAGGGCAAGCTTTAGGATTCTTCAGGATGGAGCTATGGCAATCAAAGGGTATCTAACTGCTACAGTTGTATAATTTTGTTATGCTAAAATGTTCTGCTGGATATATTCCAGTCCAAGGGGCCACCCAAACAGACCCTTTGAATGCTGGACCTTCAACATAATATAATTAGCACATAAAAACAGGAGCAGCTTGAGCTCTGTATGCTGATATGCATTTTATCTTTTTGATAATATATATAGAACAAGAATATCATCATCTTACAGCACTCATCTTCTGTAAATCTTCTGTAAATTCAACTCTGGATTCAAAATTCTTCATGACTTTCTGCAAATCACTCAACATTTTCCTTACGT